ACTATTGTTTGGATATCTTCGAATAAGAGATTTTCACAGTAGTTAGTCCATTAATAGATAATGAGAAGACAAATCAAAATGAATTCGTTGAAAAACAAACGAATTGATCACTACATTGTTAAAAACCTTTGTACGTCTGTTCTTTGGAGAATATACCGAAAAACTCAAATGTTATTTATCTTTTTAGCTTTGAAATTTTGTGAACTTTTTAAGATGTGTAGCTTTTACAGCCGTCACTGTAAGATTTTCTTTGTCCAGGTGATTTTGTTGAGATTTTTACTTTTAGTGGTAGACTGTATAGATTTAGAAAGTTGATCAACTATTAGCTTTCTCCTGGATAGGATGGAATCTAATTTGAGTACAGTGAAGCGTTTCTCACTTAAGTGATGCAGATTTCGAATAAAAAATTTCTAGAGAATAAAATCAGTTCGTTACAAGTGCTTTTAATCGCTAAGCAAAAGTCGATTTCTAAAAGTAGTTAAACTATTTTTTGTAACTTCGAGATTAGACAATCGTTTTCTTTACATTTTGGATAATATCGAAACTTTATTTTTAGAGCATTTATCTGTTTAAACGTATTTCTTCACTAATGTAGGTTTTCACTTGTTTTTTATGACTTCTCCACGTAAGAGGGCTTCAGAGTGAGAATTTTTGGACCGGAATGATCGGCAATGGGTCGTTGAAAAAGAAATTTTAACCAATTAAAACCATCCAGCCTCTTCTCAATCAGCAAAAAATCACTTTCTTTCTGTTAGAAAAGGAGTTCTTAGTGGCAACTGGAATTAAGATACCGCATATTTTAATAGTTGCGTTTTTCCCGGTTAGAGCGAGGGCCCCTTCCATCTAAGCTGACTTTTTTTGACTTTTTTAATTTTCTTTTTATCAAAAATATTAATTTTTTAAACAGTTCATTCGATGGAAACCGGCAAAAATACCATTCGGATCAAATAATTCAATTGGTGCTGACTGCTAACCAGTTCAACTAGTCTTTCTTGTTCCAATTCTCTAAGGCTCAGCCGTGCGCATTGCATAAGATGTACACACATACGCCCGAGTCACATACCTAATGGATCAAAGGGTAGTAATAGACACTACAATTCACGACAAAAGGTGCAGTTTCATCTTTCAAAATTAATCTACTAAAAGTAGCGCTGCTGTTGAAGAACAAAAACGTGTTCTGTAGTGAACAATTGTCCCAAATAGAGGTAAAAAAACTGAGGAACAAAATTTTTGTTCTTCAGTTTTGGGAGAATTTTATTTGCAATTTTTCAGAAAACACATGTGTGATCTCTATTTGGGACAAATGAAGATTATTTTTTTATCTTCTGAATAACACAAATTTTAACAGTGTAACTGTTTGCGTCTCGATCATCATGAAAGTCGAGTGAACGCGCTGCATAGGCGGCCAGATGCGCATAGTGCACTAGTGCCGCGATTGAGACAGACTTCGAGCAGCAAGCATTAGTGTGACTCAGCTAAAAGATCGAGTTTGTTGTGAAACTTGAGATGCTGGGCATACTTACCCAATAGGTGAGTTGTTATATTTCATCGCTGCTAAAGCGATGATTGAGCGTAAAGAACGTGATATGCTCATCCTGCGACGAACGAACTTCCACTCTCGCATATCACAGATAGAGTCCTGCGGGTCTGATATTTTTGATCCCGAACCTTTTCTCGTCCCGCAGACTTAAAACCCGTCTCGAATCCGAATCCGCACAAATTTTTTCGGGATCCCAATCCCGATTTTGCCAAACTAAAACCCGCTCGGCCCGACAATTTTTTATAGTGAAGTCCCCCCTTTTATTTCTGCATTAGTAAATCTCTACACGTAGTCTGCTTCTTTCACAGCCAAGAAGGAGAAGCGTAATCAAAGTGATGGTAGTTTTAATGACAGTGGAAATTAAAAGACTTCAGGAAATATGTTTTTCTATTCCTATTTTTGCGATAAACGTTTAACAGGCTCCGAAACATTATCTCTTTGTTATTACCCATTCGGAAGGCGAATCCGAACAAGAAGGTTTCGGGATGCCGATCCTAGGGAATCGAGATCGGGTTAATCTAATCACAGGAGACAGACAGAAACTTACAGAGGAGCCTGTGAACACAAGTAGAAATCGAATTGCGACGAATGGGTGATGTCTTGATCGATGACAGTACCCGCTTCGACATTGGCGGTCGTTTTACCATCGTAGACAAACAAGCGCGTACATGTCGCTTCTAACAACGACAAACGTCAATCTGGGCTGTGGCCGTAGATTGGTTTAACAAAAGATAAATAGCGATTCTCTACTGACACATCTCGGATTTGAGATATTTACCGCGACAGGCAGTCTTGACCATGTTCAATTCGTTGTCAAACACCTTTTGGAACCGACACCGTCTCGATAGAAGACTAGTTTATTCGGCGGTCGACTGACGCACGTGCGAGCAAACATTTGAAGCAATTCGATGACCATCTTGTGCAGCACTTGATGATTTCCACCGAACAACGGTTCGTGTTCGGATATTCTAGAATTTCAGCGAATTGATAATCGTTTGACGAGATCCGAGAGAACCTGCGTTCTTGTTGATAGATTCGAGCTGCACAGAGAGAACCGATCGAGTCAAACATTCATTTGTGATCTTCTGCTTGTCAAATCTATTTATCTATTTATCTCTATTTATAATATCGATATATTGTTTGTTCTTTCGAATACTCGGCAAAAGTTCGGATTTTCTGACAAAAGATGACTGATAACAGTAGAGACACAAACGACAATCTAAAACCAGTAGTGTCCATGAGCATCAGAGCATATCTAATCATTGATGATTATCATTCAGACTCACTTCTCACAAAAAAAACTTGTTAACTTATTTGCGCAAAAAAGTAATAAATCTTGTTCAAAAATTCTAGACAGTGTATAAACGAAAATGCCTCGTAACGTCGAAGTAAAAACAAAACTTGATGACGTAAACGCTACTCATCAACGTGTGAAATCAATGACAAATGAGCCACCAATAGTGTTGAAACAATGTGATTATTTTTTTAATTCAATCAAAGGAAGATTAAAATTAAGAGTGCAAGAAGTAAAATTCAACTTTTCAAACGGTACTCAATAATTATTCACAAAAATTGTTGCTTTTTCAATTTAGGATGCTCCATGCTATTTGATCTACTACGAACGTCCCAATGTCGCTGGACCAAAATTAAGCGATTATTCGACAACAACCGTTACAAATCCCGATGAACTTAAAGTAAGTCTCGATGTCTCGTCTTTTTCTTGTCTTATTCTAAATATTTTATAATAAAATCTGATATATTCGCACTGGAGTTTCTATGATCTATTGATGAGAAATACATTGAAGCACATGATCAGAAGCGGTTACAACACGGAAAAATAACTCAGAAACAACAATAATCATTCGATGATTACCAGACATATATGAAGTTAAGTTTAAAAGAAATCAACAGAAGAAAGGAGCAATGGAAGAGTTGTGTTGCTATATTCTCCATTAAATTTTAGTTTCTCTCGGTTTCTCAAAATTCGACTTCTTCGTAATGTGGGGCACTTGTGAACCGGAAGAGTATGTAGTTATTGAAATTGAAATGAGAATTAGTTGGCTAAAACTGAGACAATGTAATAAGGATTTCAAAAGGAAATGAAAAATGAGGCAGCAGAGATCGAACTGTATTACACACCAACACGATTCCCACCATGACAATTGTACGACCTCAATAAATATGTTGGAAAAGAAAACTAACATCAGTGGCTATGTCAAGAGTAAATAGCAGAGCATTGTGACTAAAGCATTCTTAATCACATCATATAATATACAGTTTTCTTAATCCATTATTCACTGAAAGATTCTATAAGAGCAATTTATATCGACACTGCAAACAAAAGAAACGATTAAACTTACATGGCAAGTCGTCATTATCAAAGAAGGATCGCAAACAGAAAAATAGAAGGTGTTATCATTCTCATAAAGAGCTTGACGTATCACACTAGTCAACAACATAAATTACTGTTTTCTTTCTAATAGCGTTGTGTGTGTTACACTACTTGAAAAGCAGGCAATTATTTGACTTGCGAGATTTTAAGATTTTTCATTTTTAGCTTATCATGGCATATTGTAGTGTATTTATTTTTTAGGAGACATTGGATAAAGCATTGGGTATTCGTGGTAAAGTCCAAAAGAAGCGTACCTTGTATATGATTGGTCAAACGCGTGTTCATATCGATGAAGTTCATGGTCTTGGTGATTATTTAGAGCTGGAAGTTGTGCTGAGAGATGATGAAACAGTTGAATATGGTGAACGTATAGCTCAAAATTTAATTGAACAATTAAATATACCAAAATATGTACAAATTGAATGTGCCTACATGGATTTATTAGATAAAAATAATAATTAGAAACTATAGTACTCAGCTATTTATTTTTGTTGTCGATTACTGATATAAAAACTTTAGTACAATTGCGGCTGCAACACCCTTAACCTGACTTACCATGATTAAGAGTTTATTATAAATATAATTTCTTATACACGAATTTTCGACCTATTTATACGGTCATTGTCAAGTTTAAAAAAATCGTGCAGAGTGACTACATTGAAGTAAAAACAAAACTAAGAAGAATATATTCACTCTGTACGATTTTTTTAAACTTGACAATGGCCGTATAAATAGGTCGAAAATTCGTGTATAAGAAACTATATTTATAATAAACTCTTAATCATGGTGAGCCAAGTTAAGGGGTTGCAGCCGCAATTGTACTAAAGTTTTTATATCTACTGTTGCCCTTTAATACTGAGAATGTTACTGATTACTGATAAAAGTTGAGAAACTCCTTTTTAATCTCAGATAAAAAGTGGATATAACAGGAGAATAACCTCTCGCATATTTCTGCCGCATTTTGTAGAAGACATCGAGTGATATACATTCAGATATCTTTTATTAAAGAAAAGTTTGAACTATTTCAAGTTTTTTGCGTCTACGTTTAGGATCGTTGTTTTTTGCTGCGTTTCAACAAATGCTAGGAAAATGAAGAAGAGTGTCGAATGATTAATATATAACATATTTGAATAGAGAATATCAAGATTCGAATACACTCTAAAAGTATTTTCGCCAATGATCAGATGGATTTTTATNAACATTTTTGAGCTCTAGCTAACGATTCGAGCTACCTGAAAAGACTAATGTATACAAATTTCTGTTGATAGTGTAGTTGAGAATAAGAAACTGCACATCTTTTCATCATTGTTCATTCAATAGAAAATGTCTTTGATGCACACTTCAACTTCCATTTGCATAATGAAAGAACCATTTATCATGGTCTAGTTCTTGCCTGCGGTGAGTATGTGAATCATATCTACATTTGAATGAATTGTATATTCCGAGTATATTTTCAAGTTTAAAAGATGAAACTGTACGTTTTTGTAGCATAGTCATGAGAAAGAACAGAAAAAACTATTGTTGCGATTAAAACGTGCCGATCCACATCTCTCTGTAGACCACACACACATTCAAACTAAATATATATATTTAACGACATTCCCTCGGAACTAAATACGATTGTCCACTATCAGCTTCGGGACATTCGTATAATTGCTCAGAATACGTCATACAACGTGATCCACTGAAAATGTGACACATCTATCCGTTTTTACTCCCGATTCTTAATATTGCAACTTTTTTGAAAAATAGTAAAGGTTTCTTTATTGACGTAAGAGAAGTTACCAGCAGATTTCTGTAATCGCTTAATATTTTTATTCACCAGTGTGCCAGTTTTGTTGCTGACTGTGCCAGACAGGACTCGATGAGCTCTATCGAATGGTAAAATCTATTTTCCAGAATATTGTTTCCTTCGCTTTTAAAATGAAAGTTCTGTCTGGCACACTTATTTCCAGAGGTGGCACACCTTTAATAAAAAATGTTAGCCCAAAATACAAAAGTTTGAGTTTTCGTCTCGTTCAGAAAAACAGTATTTTTTATTTTAAAAGCGAAGGAAACAATATTCTGGAAAATAGATTTTACCATTCGATAGAGCTCATCGAGTTCTGCCTGGTACAGTCAACAGCAAAATTGGCACAATGGTGAATAAAAATATTAAGCGATTATATAGAAATCTGCTGCTAACCTCCCTTACATTTTTTATTGTTCCATTACATAATATCGGTAACCATAAGTCGGATCTTGAGAAAACTTTCAGGAAATGTTGACCGTGTCAAAGTGCAGGGAGGAAACCTTTTTTTAATTTAATCTTTATCCGTTCACGAGATGTAGCTACAACAGTGATCAAAACGGAACTGTTCATATTTCCCAAAATTTTTCATCCAGGTAGAGTGTGAAGAGCTCGGGTTGGTTTCAAAATGAAACTAACACGTAGTGCTAGAGATTAACAGAATCTGATTATTTAAATATTTGTGGTACTGATTTTCAGCAGCCACCGGAAGCTGAAAATCTCCAAAATCCTTCTCTCGTGAATACAACAGCGAAACTCAGAAATCGGATTTTATTAATCTCTAGCCCCATGTGTAAGCTTCATTTTGACACCAACTCGTGCTCCTCACAACCTACCTTGATAAAAGTTTTGAGAAATACGAAAAGGGCCTAATGGCAAAAAATGACTTTGAGAAGCATATGAAACACTTACTGACTTTAAAACTGTTTGTCTCCATCATAAAGTGACAAGAAAAAATTAAAAGCAGTTCGTCAGAGGTTATCGACTATGGTAAAGTGAATAGACACGTGCAGCCTTTGTATTTACATACTCCAAAATTCACGTGGGAACCGGCACGACAGAGTTCGAAAAGTGGAACAAAACTGACTTTGAACTTAGAAAGTTTCATATATTTATTAATAGCTTGTCGGGCGCCATTAGTTCTTCAGAGGAAAATAATTCTCTCTGTTTCTCTCTTTCTGAACTCTTTCATTGTCTCTTTCTCTCTCTCTCTTCCGAAAATTTCTCTTTCATTTCATTTTTCTTAAATCTACCTTTTACAGCAAATGAATCCCAACAAAGGTAACATGGTGAATCCCCTATTGGCTGTGGACCGCTTCTGGAAGATTCAGGTCGCATACAGCCTGTCAACATCGCAAGTGCAGCGCAATTGCAATTTAGTTTATTCTTGCTTATCACTTTTTTTGTGCGAAAATGTAAGGAAATATAATTCTGGCTCTGTTCTTCAGGTCTGTGTAATTGATATTAAACATGAGTCATTGTTATTCCTAACATATACGTGCACTGACGGGGAAACTAGTTATGGAGCAATAACTAGAATGCAGTGTCTGTCGACAATCTAGTTTATTTTTTATTTTTAATGATATATACACAGTCCTCATGTAACCAGAGTTGTAACCGGTCTACAAAATCATGACCGATAGCGACCGGTCACCGGTGACCGGCGAACGTATGCAGACCAGACCGGCCGGTTGACCGGCCATTTTTCAAAAAATTTGACTGGTAAGCGACCGGTGTCTTTTGCTTTCTGTTCAATATAAATATGCTTTTTCTATCATATTTTCTATTTATAAGCCAATTCGGTTGATAAGTCTCGACCGGACCGGGAACCGACACCCGGTCGCCCGGTCCGGTTACATCTCTGCATGTAACTACGTACAGAAACACATTTAAAATTTCGTTTATGCATTAGTCTACAATTTGAACAAGATATATCCGAATTCGGGGATCATCCAAAGTCTACCTTTTGTAATGAGAGAAAATCTCAGTAAAAGTTCTAAGTTATGCTTGATAAAAGCATAAAAGCATAACCAGCATAACTAGTATTTTACTAAGGGAGGAGTATTGAATAGCAAAAGTTCTATAGTAGAGATGACTCATCATTTGCCACGCCTAAACGCGAATTTCTGTTTCTTCTAGACGTGTTTCGGAATATAAATTTTTTCATCATTTCAATGCGTTTTTTTAGTTCTGTACGTCCCATTACATTTTTCTCTGATTGATATGCAAAATCCATCTAAACGCGTTTCAATGTACTACATAAAATTTGAGACGCATCTAAATGCAAACATAGCCGTCTTTCGTTTTGTCAAACGGTATAAAAAAAGAGTGCATCCAGATACGTTCAAGAAATGTTTGATCTCAAAAAAGGAGTTCAGATGCAACGATTGTTGAAAAAAATTGACCTCGACACTCGTGTCTATGTTTTTCAGCTTTTTCAGGGACATATTTTTGATTAAAATTGTTATCAGCATTGTTTTGAAATAGATTTCTAAGCTTGTGAATACCGAATAAATTTCAAATACTCTGCAGGAATAGTTATACCTTTAATAAAACTTCTTTTTTTCACCAGAATACAAAAGAAAAGCTAATATAAATCATCGACTGTAGAGACTGTCTAAGCATCTAGGAATGACTTTTCTCATAACTATCGCATAAATTGAATAATAAGAAAATAATTACAAAAATAGACAGTTGTTGAAAAAGAAATTGTTAGACGGCAATCACGCTAGCGAGAGTTGCGAATGCGGTGCGAAGTAGGAACAAGAGAATGAAGGATATGGCACCAGAAAACTCAGTTTTTTTGTTAAATTGTGTACAGTATTGTTCGCAGGAAAGAACTGAATAAAGTGTAAATTAGTCACGTAAAAGAGTAATGTTTTAGTTTTGAGAAAAACTGTCGAAATTTGTTTGCTACTGATTCATTAAACTTCAAAATGTTTGTTGAGACGCTCAAGTATCTCTCTGTGAATAAAAGATAGAAGCTGAACCTTGGCTGACTTCGCTTCAGAATGTGAATATGAAATTTTAGGGTAACTAATGGGGAATTAATGCTGAGCGTAGGATAAAAAATCTGTATGTTATGGCAGAGATTAAAGCTTAGTTGCAAGTCCTTCAAAACGGGAGTTAATCAGTTTTGTCTTTCTTTCTTCTCTTTCCGAGATAGTATTCAAGTCAACACATATATTCAAACCCTCTACTACTTCCATAATTGTCAAAAATTTACATAACTACTCTTTATTCTTCCATTCTTTCAGGAATAGTTCGCCAAGTTAGACCTATTCTTAGAGATAACTCATCGTGTTCGAGTTATTTCGCCCAAGTCTCGTATCTCACTAAGTCGAAGGTACCCAGAGAAAGCCACTGTGAAAGTTTGCCGAGACCAACTTGGATTTCTCGGATAAGTCGAGGAACCCACCGTGAAAATTTGCATTTAAGCAACCGAGACTTGTAGATAATGAGGGAACGTTCTGAGGTGTCCGCTTCCAATTCCAATGATTTGTACATGGATCGATATGTCCGGTTTTCTGGAAAATCAGTTTTTTAAGAACTCTAAAAAATAACAATATCAGCTCTACACGACCTTTCTTTTCAAAGTTATAGAATTTACAAGAAAAGCCCGAAATGTTCATTGTGAGCTCAAAGCTACAGAAATACGAAGAAATTAATTTAGGGCGTTTCTTGTAAATTCTATACCTTTGCAAAGAAAGTTCATGTAGAGCTGGAAGATGTCTCATTTTAATCAGAAATTTGCGGGCTACAATCCTCGCTCATTAAAAAAGGCTTTGGTTATTTTTTAGAGTTCTTGAAAAACCGGTTTTCCAGAAAACCAGGCCTTCATGGATCATACGCACGGATCCTTTTAGGGTATTTACTACCTCACTGAGTTCTACCGATCCATGTATAAATCACTGGAATCGGAAGCGGACACCTCAGAACTTTCCCTCGTTAGTTTTAACCTCTATCCTCACATACAGATTTTTTATCTTACACTCAGCATTAATTATCTGTAACACAAGAATACATTTAGAGTCTAGAGTTACGATAATTTACTTGTTGAATAGATACAGAGAACGATCATAAAGTGAATCACACGGTAGACGAACGTACTCTGGTATAAAAGCGTGTATACATGTATGACTCAGATTAATTATCGTGTTTTTTAAAAAAGATTACAAGTCCTAAACGTTCAAAAACTTTTGAGCTGTAAATCAGAGCAACGAAATATACAAACAGTCTCAAAAGGGGAGAAGATACAATTCAGCCACTTCTCTCTCTACAAGCGTTTAAAGTTTGGAATAGCACTTGTAGTTTTCGAAATAACCGTTACAGAAAATCATACTTTTTTGTCGAGTAAAAAACACGCAGTTTATTACTAGAATGCGGTTAACACACGCATGTACTTACTTGACGTGGTATCAGATAATAGTTTTGAATTTTGAATTCGTATACGCGTTACTTAACTAGTTTTAATTCTTGTCCTTTTTACATTTAGTCTTAAACAACTTATATCCACCGACCAATAAGACACCACTAATAACCAATAACGAACCTAATAAAGCGAATAAATTTGATTTCATATTCGTAAACAAATTTTGTAATATAATCGCATAGATAATATCACTACTACATACAATGGTAAATATAGATGGATTTTCACGTTTAATCGCTTTTTGAACTAATATTGCTGCTAGAATTTGTAATAAACATATGAATGATGCAAATATAAATTGCCATTTTAATAAAACTATTACTTTATGTTCGATAAAATATTTATAGAATTGATTTATAATTAAAATGATTAAGGCTACAGTTGCAAATTGAAACATCATTATGCTCGGTTTTATTTTACATGTCACAAGTTTTTTAAATAAGATAATATTGACGGACGATGATAAAGCACAAAATAGTCCAATTGAAAAACCAATATAACGATGGTTTGATGAATCTGTTACAGTTATGGTAGAATTAAATGTCATATTTGATACTTGAGGTATTTTATTTTTGAATAGAAACGATGGTTGTGCAACAAAAATCACTCCTAGAATTGTTAATGGTATGGCACCCAAAATTGTAATTGATGGTTTTTCACGATAAATAATACTAGTTAACACTAATGTCCAAATGACCCTTGTATATAGTAGTGTTGTTAAATCTGGTAATGGTATATATCGATAACCAACAAAGAAGGCCATAAATCCACCTGCTCCTGACAAACAACACACAAATTGCAATAATAGCTGTTTTTTCGTACCACTAAAAATTGAATATTTTTTGTAAATAATAAATGTGATAGCGGTCACTGTTTGTAATGTAAAACGTAATAGTATTGCGTCAAGTAAATCAATTTGTAATTGTTTAGCGACAAATGTTGAACATGTAAATAAAAATGATGCTGCTAATGAATAAAATATACCAGATAAATTTCGAAAAATATTTTGTATAGAAGGTAATGATTTTCTGGTTACTGTGTTGATAACATCTGAATATTCATGTGATAGATAGACAGGTTCAACTGATAGATCTATAGGGAGCGTTAAAATATCTTTTTCAGCATCTGTTAGCAATTCGTCATGATGATTTTCTAAATCTGTTGAAAAAATTGTTGATTCATGTACGTCGTTCATTTTTTCAAGTCAACGATTCATTACTTTGTAAAAGAAACGGAACAATCTGAAAAGTGGCGTGTAATTTAGAATAATGTGTATAGAAAATGAGATTATTCGTAAATTTTTTCATTGCGTTTCCAAAGAGCAGCTTATTTTTCTCACTAGAGAAGCTCACCAAGGTTTTTTCAACGGCATATACCTTATCGTATAGAGTTGATACGCCGATCATAGCGGTAATAAGCACTCGTTCCCTTGAACCCTCAGTGAAGGATTATAGGATAAAGAAAACTAAGAAAAAAGTTATTTTCGATACAAAAATCGACTTAAATTTGCATAAAAGGATGTTTTCAAATAATTCTGCTTACATCACGGGATTCTTCGTGATCAAGTACAGCATCTCCACTTCGGGTTTTATGATAGTTGGAATTTCACCATCATCGCATTTACTATTGTCAGAGAAGAGAGAACGAAAATGTATTCTTGTTGGAGCATACGCTTATAAATGAAGAAGATCCTGGGATTCTGCAATAAAATAAAATGTAAGGAAATAAAATTTCACATTCTTTTGCTAGAATACAACAAGGCGCTTCCAGAAAGGCAAAACAATACGATTCTCATAGTCTTTTATTTTTTATCTGCTAAATTTTCTTGGATAGAGTTGTTTGGGCAACATCTGTTCAATGGCAGTCTAAAAATATTCCTTCCCAATACTGTGTTAGGAAGATACATCTCCGTTGCGGCTATCAAATAGTGTACTTGACCACGAAGAACCCCGTGGTGTAAGCAGAATTATTTGAAAACATCCTTTTATGCAAATTTAAGTCGATTTTTGTATCGAAAATAAGTTTTTTCTCGGTTTTTGTTGTCGTATAATTCTTCAATGAGGGCTCAAGGGAACGAGTGGTTATTACCGCTATGATCAGCGCATCGACTTCTACAAGACAGAGCAAGCGATTATTTTCTAAGATCACTATAATGTGATAAAAACGTATCCTTTATTTATTCCGTAGTCAAAACTTTCAATTGCTACTCAATGATCTAGAGAACGGCCCGTGGAAAAGTTCTAGCTTTAACATCCCATATTTACATTATTCACGAGTCTTCTAACTAACTTTTAGATAGAGCTTTTTTTAATTAATTCGATTATCTGAAGACTTTTGCTCCCCCTTCCATTTTATACTGAATGGAATGAGTTTAACAGTCTAATAGTTGTTCTAGTATGTGCCTTTTCATCTAATAATCAGAGACTGTTCGTGAGAATGCGTAGAATACGAAAAAAAGTAAAAATGCCGCTCGAATGTTCAAGAATTTGTTTTTTTCAACTATAATAATTCAGCGATAGCCAAAGAGTTAGCTGAAACAACTTGACGCTTATGAGAGACGTGTACGACTATTATATCAAAACTTTTTTCTATATTAAAGCTAAGAATCCGATTTCCTACACGAAGAAACCTTTCCGTCTGATAGTAAAACTTCTGTGACTACTCTAGAAGGATAGAGCAAACAACTCTCTTCAAAACGAGATATTTTCTAATCATTATAACTCGACATGCGCAAGAGCCGATGCCCGTCCCCTTATACTCTTATGTCTAAAATTTTTAATCGAATTCTATTAGTTTTTATACTTTCAATGAACTTAAGGTAGGGGTTCTGTGTTTTTGTTTTTTTCCTTATAATACTTCCAAACAATTTACTGATTACCTTGCAAATACATTTCTGAAGACAAAAGTTTAATCATAAGAGAAGATTTTTGGCTATCAGATCATGTACTTTTCTAAACAATTCATATTTTTGATGAAAGTCATCTCTGAGAGAAAGGGCTTTAAACGGCACTCTGGAAAAAAGCCGGCTTAAGTTATTTATGTTTCTATATCGTCAGTTGTTGTTTCTTTTCATCCATTTTATTTTGAGATGCTTGTTTCTGCAAGGTATTCTTTCATCTTACTTCTATAATTAACGGAAAAGTCATTCATTTCTTTTTTACGTGTGCCACTCGTATATAAAGAACAATGATCTTAGAAAGAACTTGCCATTTATTTTGATTTCTTACTTAAGCCATTGATATACAGTCAGTAGTTGAGGTGCTTTCATGGGTTCCAACTAGGACTATCATTCAATTGCTAATAATGAAAATAAGATGTAAAAATAGCTTACATTTAGGTAAGACGGCATAATTCGGTTGCAAAATAGTCAGGTCAATTCGTTTTAATATACGACGGATCGAAAAGACAGATGAATCAATCGCAGCCGATTAATGCCGACTTATTTTAGACTGGTTTTTCTTAGAGTGTAGATGAGAGCGTCACTTTATAATCGCATATGATGACAGTAGTAGATGAGCAAGAAAATCATATAGTGTCGAGAAAGCATTCGTGTATAAAACTAAATTTCACAGATACTTTTTTTGTATTATAACAAAATTTCAAATGACTACTACCCCCACTAATATAAATCGCCTAAAAAGCGTTTTGTAATAGTTTTATTAAATCCTTTTGAGTTTAGTAAGCAACAGAGAAGAAAAATCATTTTCCACTACTAAATTTCTGTTTTGGGAGGATTTAAAATATCCTTATTTCAAGAGAGTGTACAAATAAAAATAAAAGGTTTTCTCACGGTAAAACACTGGTAACGGTAAAAAAAACACGGCAAAAAAATTAATTTTTTCCGAATATCCGCCCATCCTTACTCCGATTAACATCTTTCCATTTTACTTATCTTACTCATTATGATTCATATGAGTCCATTTAACATATACTTTCTTAGTTATTAAATATTCTTGTTTGTTACATCGCAAAATATTTTTGTTCTGTTGTTATCTTCATTCCAGCCATGCGCTGTACATATTTTCCAAAGTGTGCTAGTATCGGAATTATTCTGTTTTCTCTTTTTCTTTGCTTTTATAGTATAATCAGCACAGCATACATAATTTTTTTCTATTGTTTCTGATACAACAAGAAAGAAACATTGTCAATCTATACATACATACACATATATTCGTCTATTTTATAAGTCAGTTTATTTGTAAAAAAAATTAATACACGTTCTACGATAGATCTTGCCACATTACTTTTGTGATATTGTGTAAAAGACAAGTATCTCATATAATAACAAACCTTGAAATATCTTGTGAAACATATGCTATGCTTGTTATCGCTGGTGCCTATTTTTTCATTTGTACTTATTGTGCCATATAAATACATTACTTTTCTTCTTTTTCGTTTAAGCCCTCCCCTCCCGTCAGAAACGTCTTTCGGTAACTGAAAGTCCGATCTGGATCAAACTTTCAGAGAATGTTCACCTTACAATTGTACTCTTTTCGTAAAATTTTGGCGAAGTGATCTATCACCGTTTCAGAGATATCGCTCGATTAGGGGTCAAAATGGGACTGTTTGTAGCTGCAACATTTCTCGGTAACAAAGAGTCGTGGGGAGCTCGGGAGGGTCTCACAATGACGAAAACATATGTGGCTAGAGATTTATAGAGCCCGATTTTTTATATCTGGGTGACATTTCGAAATAATGGTAAGCATCAGAAGTCCAAAATTCGAAAAAGATTCACTAACTTTGACAAAGATGTGTTTCTAACCACAAATCTAGACTGAATATAAAAACAACTTAGTTCTTTAGAGCTACTTTTTCAGTTTTGACAGGAGCCATCTTGGGCTAGCTAATAATGTGCTTAGCTCAATATTGACTTTTTTCCAAAAATTTCGTATTTGTGAGAGGATAGCCTTAAAGGAACGCTACTATTGGTGTTCTAAAATGTTTGCAGTATTCTTTATTTTGTAAGGTGCCCGTAATTCGAACTTCGAGCAAAATTTGTTTTTGACTTTATCATACATATTCTGATTCGTCTTGTCGAGCTGACCACGAATATCACCTTTTGACTTCTTTTGAACCACATCTTCATGAAGAAAAACTCCGATTACGGAGAAGGTCGCCAAAACAAAAAAAAATTTTGTTTTCAGGAAAAACGCCAATGGTGTTTGCAAGTCCTTAAATCCAAAAGCCAAATTCTCGCGTAGGCGAAAACGTAGTTGAGTCAAAAATCCAAACCGAATTTTGTAGACCTAACACGAGTTTGTGTAGAGACGATAGACCCAATATTTGCACCTTGTCAGAACCGCTAGAAGCTCAGCTTCAACGTTACGAAGATATTTTTTAAAAATTCCTTTTCCTCGCTGAGAAAATTCATTTTTTCTAAATCAGCGGCGAATAAGTCAGCATTCTCCTCAAAATTCTCACTTTTCTCCAACAGAGCTCAACTTCTATGGAGTAAAAATATCATATTTGGAATCAGGATCACAAGACAAATCGACTGATGTGTATTTCGAAATTTTTAGTTCATTTTTATTTTTTGGTGAAAATCTCGTGATTTTTCAGCGTAAAAACTTAAAGTACTCGGATAGGATAAAGATACATATCACTCGATTTGTCTTTTGATCCTGATTCCAAATATGATATTTTTACTCCATAGAAGTTGAGCTCTGTTGGAGAAAAGTGAGAATTTTGAGGAGAATGCTGACTTATTCGCCGCTGATTTAGAAAAAATGAATTTTCTCAGCGAGGAAAAGGAATTTTTAAAAAATATCTTCGTAACGTTGAAGCTGAGCTTCTAGCGGTTCTGATAAGGTGCAAATATTGGGTTTATCGTCTCTACACAAACTCGTGTTAGGTCTGCAAAATTCGGACTCAAATACGTTTTCGCCTACGCGAGAATTTGGCTTTTGGGTTTAAGGACTTGCGAACATCATTCCTAGAATCAGTTTTTCGTATGATTAAATCAAAAACAAATTTTGCTGCAAGTTCGAATTATGGGCATCTTACATATCTCAGTCCAGAAATATGATAATATTTTAATTTCTTATTTAAAAGAGGCTCTATTTAATTCTCTACAAAAAATATATCGAACATTTTTCTATATAACTTAAAAGACTATGGAGGAAATACTGCGAATATGCAATCTCGAGCACTTCCGAGTTCAAAAAACAGTTTTTTCAATTTAGTTCCTTCCATTTTATGGTATACAAAAAGGGACGACATCTGTTTTGTAGCAGTCGAAAAACTGTATTGATTAGCAAGATTTTAAATTGTTTGTCATCACAAGCGGTTGGGAGCGAATTTTGTTTTCTTTTTGCTACAAATCATCATTTCAGTTCGAAAGTTTGAAGGCACTTGAAAAAAATTTTCTAACTGCGCCAAATTTGAATATTTTAAGATCGGATTTGTTTTATTTTAAAGGAAAACAACTCTGCTTTTATATCCGAACGGAAAAAGTTCTATAGCTCCGTTACGTCGACTATGTTAAGACGAAAAAGTCAAATTTTCTCGTTTCTAGGATGAGTTTGGTAAAAGCGCTTTTTGTGCAAGAAAAACACGTTTAAAGAGAACCTATGATATATGAAAAGTGAGAAGAATATACTCAGGAGAAACAAAACATATATTTTATTCCACTGGGATGTCTGACAACGTGCTCAAAATAAATTTGTTTCTCAGTGTCATTTCGACTAGGGAGTACTCAATATTTACATATTCTTATTTTGAAGTTATATAGAATAATGTTCAATATATTTTTTGTAGAGAATTAAATAAGGCATCTTCTAAATAAGAAATTAAAACTTTATCATATTTCTGGACTGAGATATGCGCAAATAAAGAATGTTGTAAACATTTTGAAACGAGGCTTCTTAATTGAGACCACTTTAAAGCCGGTAAAGAGTTGTAATTTGATTCCCAGTTTTCTTGTAAACATAACTAGATTTCTGAAGTAGAAGATTTCCAGACATAACTGATGAAAATTTTGGTTAGATGTGTGCATGAGTATGATCATGATACTGTTACCCGAGAATCTCAAAGTGCAAAAAACAGCAGACATATGTTACGTGATGTCCATAATAGAGAAAATAACAATAAAAAATATCAATCTTTATTGAATAGTGTGGATAAGTGAACGGTTTATTTTATTCCGAATGTTTTTGGGAGCAAAAATTCTAGTTGTAAATAAATCGGTTGTTGCAGTTGCGTTTATACACTCATTACTCAGTTATACGAAACAAAGATCCTATCCTATCTTGTTCATCTGAAATTATCAGAATGGAGATAAACTATTCTGTTTCTAAACGAGGATCTTTTAAAAATTCTGACAGTGACTAAATAAATGAATTTCTACGATTTATGTATTAAAAGACATTTTATTTGAGCTAAAACGCTTATTGTTGATGCTCATTTGAGAAATCTTGGACAACTATAGAACTGAATGTATGATCAAAGGAAAGAAAGATAAACTTGTAATAATATGATGTTTTTGCCTAAATAAGTTAAGCATTCCCTATAACTTCGTATCTGTATCAAATCATCGGATCGAGTAGGATTTCATATCTCTAATTTCGGTCCTTTACAATTGAAAGACTCTTCACACACTCACCTTACTCCCGTAAATAGATAGATGTAGCCTTAATATCACAACTCATGTCAGGTAAACAAAAAAGATGATCAATAAGTTTGATGAACTACTACATATTCATATTTATTTTAAAATTTTTTTGATATGTTCAATGAGCAGTTGTTGGTCATCTTTCGATGTTATACCATGATCAGCATTTGACAAGAAAAGAACGGTATCATGTCGTAATTCATTGACTAAACGTTTTGCAAATGCAGAAATTACAGATGAATCTGGTACATATTGATCTTTTATGGAAAATATCCATGTTAAAGGTGTTCTGATAGAAGAATAAATGTTTGATAATTCATCATTCGTTAAATCTGTAGAAAAAACATCTTCAATAGAATTTTTTTCATTTAATGATAAAAATCGTGAAATTGTTATTGGAACATCGCTTAAATGATGAGGAATCCAATCATTTGGTGATAATGATGATGATGAACGACAATATTTGAGAATATCTTCTGTTTTTGATTCAGTAGCACCAAATTCACGGTCACTAACTGGACCCTGAAATCAAATAAACTGATGTAGTGTTTCAACATCATTGTATAAAATTTACCTGTAAAATTGCATGTGTGACATGTTGTTTATTTGATGAATGTTTAAGAAAATAAATGATATCTTGACAGCCAGTTGAATGTCCCATTAGAATCAACGATGTCGGTTGTCCACGTTCTTGAACAAGTTTTTCTATTAGAGAATCTAAATCTTCCAAATCTGTTTGTAAACTATGAAAACCATATTGTAAATAACATGAACGTAATAGTATTTGAATTAAACAGTAACCGAAAGACTCTAACATTTCAGATAACGTTTCTAGATAAGATAATGAATTTAATCCATCAGTAAGACCACCAATAAAAATTAAATATTTTGAAGATGATAGACAACCCGATTCAAATGCAACCATGTTACTTTTGAGATTGTAAATGAATAAATTTCCGTGCATAGTGACGTGACTATCTAGAAGATAATGATAACAAACTAAAAACTACACTTTCATCTTGAACTGTTCCAAATTAATAGCCTGTTATCATATTCTACCTAGTTGGAACTGGTCGGAATGAAAATTGAAAGTAAATATTTTAGGATAAACTCAAACAGATCTATCGGCTATATTAAAAGTGCCAAATTAATTTCAAATGCACATTAAATGCAAGTATTTGCATCGGTTATGAGTCCATTCTCAAAAAACAAAAACACAATACGATCACAGGTTCAAAATGTGTTCAGTTCAGCAAATTACAAAATGAGCACATGTTAAAAAGAACTCTAGTTAGATATCAATACAACCGTTTTCCGTCCTTTTTAAACAACTAAAAAACAGAATTTTCGATTGATGATATTTTCTAAAAACCGAAGTCATTAAGGGTAGCCCCCTCTTTTTTGAAATTTCGGATTTTGAGCCAAGCATAGCCTAATGTAGAGGAAAGTGTGGGCTACAAAATGAGACCACTACCAGCATTCCACGACCTTTCTTCCAAAAGTTATGCAGTTTTTCCTTCAAAGCCTAAAAAAACTCAGTTTTTTAGTTTCATAAACTTGTCTCTGCTTTTCTGTACATTCAAAATTTTTCTTACGCCTAGTCTGATAGAAGAAAGTGTTTTCTTCACAATGAGACTTTTTCCAGAATTTTCCGATGAATTTTCGTGGAGATATAAGCATCGCGGCAAATGCTCTGAAAAAAGTGGTCTGTGTACAAAATGCCTTTTTTCCAAGGGGAGAAACCACAACAGTACACTATACTTTTTCCACTACGGTAGTGGCGTTGTAGTGACTTTGTAGTGGTCATATAGTAGATGTGTGGTGGGGTGTAGTGGACAGTGCAGTATAGTGTTGTTTTTTCCCCTTGCTTTTTTCTCGAAAACTATTTTTTGCGGCTGGGCTTCATTGGACCACATTACGACCGCCTTAAATTTTATCCGATCGAGTTAAAAATTTTATCAGAGGTACTCAAGGTCATAGTGCAGAGGTGTTATTCTAGAATCTTTTTTTTAGACCTTTCTTTACCGAGTTATAGAATTTCTAAAATTTAAACACTTAGTTTTTAAGAGTTTTTCGGTATTTTTCCTATAACTCGGTCTAAAATAAAATTCCAAAATTATACCTCTGCGCTATGACCTTGAGTACCTCTGGTAAAACTTTTAACTTGATCTGATGAAATTTAAGGGAGAGGGGGTCGTAATGTGATCCAATGAAAAGCCGAGTTTTCTGAAAAACTGATGAACGGCAATAGTTAAAAACTTGAAACAAAAACAAAAAAGAGCTCCATTGAGTTTCCAATCAGTTCTGAAAATATGAAGCCATAGTGAGTTTTAGTTTTTATTTCACAGCATTTCTACGGAAAGCCTAAAATGAGGGGAGAGGTACCCTTAATATGAGGTACCCCAGAGAGGGCCACCTTGACTCAGATCCATTCATTGAAAAATTAATTGCCATTGTGAAAAATCGAATAACAGCCCGTTTTACACATGCACTTCTTCTGTCGTTGATTTTTGATCGTACTCAAAAATAGCACCTTTTCAAAGTTTAAACAATTGAGTTTTGAGAGTTCTGGAATTATTTCACCTTTAGTTTGGTAAGATGAAGCTCGATTTTAAGAAAAGATTTTGCGGTTAAGGTTAAGAAAAAGGCTGTGAACGTTCTAGAACTCAGCTCTATTTCTATGAGATGTGTTGTTTGCTACCTATATCTCTAATTTATAACTAAATTTCACTCAATCTTTATATTTTTTATTTAAAAATAGATCAATAAAACAGAAATACTACAACATACAACTGTTGAAATTAGCAAAAGAAAAAATTAGTATTAAAAGGATTCAGGAAATTCACAAAGTTGATCAATATCATTAATGTCAAGCACGGATATAGTGTCAGTTAAGGAGTTATCTGAAGTCCACAAAAAGCATTCTTCTAACGTGCTCAGATGCTCAACAAAACGTTTAGAACGATATAACCCACGTATCCGATTCTCTCCATTAAGCCACACAGATCTATAAGAATTTAGGTTTGTTTGTTCTAAGAGGAGAAAACCATCAATATTATGCGAAAGAGCAGTAGAATATTTGTTCCAGTATCTAACACATCTATCAGTGAGAGAAATCTCGTTAAATACGTAGGCGAAGAAGAAATCTGACCAATGGGGACAAAAAAACGTCCGTTTTAAGGTTGTATAATAAAAGTGGCACAGGTCTTGTTGTTGCCTACCAGTAAACAGAGGAACAAAGGCAAACAGCCAGGTAAAAAGAGGAAGTACATAACCAAAATATAAAACTCTTCTCAATTTAAACTGGTACAGCCGAAAATTCTACAGGATCTTATCATTCCTAACCGTTGTCTAATTTTTAGGATACTTCGACTAATCATTTTCGACCAGCCAATAGCCCAAATACTTGAATTCGGATACCCATCTTATCAGGTGAGATCCACACATTAACTTAAATTTCGGGAGGCCGATAGCTCGAGCAGACCAGAGTGCTTCAGTTTTATCGTAGTTTAACGGCTGAAGTGTCAATAAGGAATACAATTCAAGATAATCAAAGAAAACAGCCAGTCTTTTTTCTAAGTCTATGCATTGTTCGGTGTAACTAACCCCGATACGACCTGCCATAATCGCAGCCAGATCGTCAGCAAAAAAGAAGGCTAAAGCCATTTTTAAAGATCACCCATGTCAGAGTGATAAGTGATGAATAAAGTTGGTGTAAAACTAGATCCTTGAGGACCACCTCTGAAGATTGAAAAAATTCGTGATCTGATCTATCAATTTCGATAAACGCTTTTCCACCTATCAACCACGCTCTTATCCAATTTACATATGCCTTCGGATACCTAATCTCAGCATCTTACCGAGGCATCCCTCAAACCACAACTGATCGAAAGCACTCTTAAAATCCACGAACACCGTTGCTACTGGGGAGCTATTGGACATATACGAAGAAATTTGGCCGATAAGAAAGAGCACTCTGGTTTGCAACCGGAAATCGGCATGAAAACCTGATTGTGTATCAGGTAAAATTCCTCTTAAACGTAAAACTTCGAGAAATCTTGATAAAAATAATTTTTCCTATATCTTAAGAAATACATCAAGTAACGAGATTGATCTAGTAGACGTAACAGAACAAATGGACTCTTTTTTTGCTAAGATAATCATACGAACTTCTTTCCAAGAAGAAGGGAGAAAAAACGACGAAAAAGAGAGATTAAAGAAAACCACAAACAACGACCAGTATTCAATTGGTAAAAATTTCAACATAAATGGAGACAAACCATGAGCGCCGCATGAATGTTTTTTCTTTCTAGATGAGACTACTCTGGTCACTTCTTTAAATGAAACTGGAGGGAGTTTTTCGTCAAAGTTGTCCCATACTAACGGCGAAGAATCCACATAAGGATATGGTCTAACTACTTCTAGTTCAGAAAATAATTCTTCATAGTGGTTAGCAGCAATTTCCGTCATTTCCTTAGGCTCACTCACTGTCTCCCGGAACTCAAAATTAAACCATGCAAAGAAGAGGAAATAGGTTTGAAATAGCGTTTTGTTTTGGACCAAAAAGAGATCGAATTTGAATGGGCTAAATGACGCTCATCTGGAGTCTTAACAAGTTGATCTCCTACTAAGGCTTTTAATTTCCACTGTAACATTTTACAAAAAATATACAAAAAAATATGCCGTTGGGACCTTTCGTAAAATTGAATGTAGATTGATAATAAGATGTCATAAATTATTCGTAGACGTCTCATTTTGTAAAGGTACGTTTACTCTATATGATGAAACTGTTTGCAAGATGTTTCTCGATCGAAGTGGAGGACTTGGTTTCCTAATGTTCTGGTTTTCCAATGGCTCTAATTCTAGAAATGTTGATAATATGCAGCAAAATTTCTGTTTTACGATACAAGTTGTATAGGTAAGTTTTACTGTACAAATGTTTGTAGTCTCGTAACAGTCATAACTCTCTTTTAGTTATATGTACAGACAAGATATTTTCTTCCCCAGAGAAGGAAAATATTTTCCTCAAGTGCTTGACAGAAACAATATATTTTTCGTACAAGATGTTTTACATACAGTTTTTGCCCTTTTCCTATGTGTCATTTCACCAACTGATTTTATCTGCTCATTATATCGGTTATAAGGCGCTATGAATTGTTGTGTGTTTTACTATCTAAATTGCATACAGACAGGTTAAAAAAGAAATCGAAATGTATCACTTTGTTTGTTTTGGTTGTACTTGCAATAAAGTTTCTAAACCCTTTCCGTTAACGTCAATACGAAACCTTTAAGGAAACGTCACAAAATTCTCCATATAGAACCTTTTCTGAACGGAAAAATATAGAGAATCCGTAATAAACCCCTTCTGTATGGAACTTTAAAACGATTTAGAAATGGTTACAAAAGGAGTAGTCCGCATAAGACTTGAAATCGGTTCACTAAATTATTATTATTTTATTGCCTCAATATATCTAGAATTCATCAAAGTTATCTTATTCGGTGCTTTCGACTTTTAAAAGTCGAAAGCACCGAATAA